GGAGGCTCAGATGGGGCACGGTTCCAGAGACCCCCATCATCATTTTGACTGGACAAATCCTGGTGGTGGGGAAGCTATGGTGAGACAACGAGGACCCACCAAAAGGGGAAACAAAGGTAAAGTATTCGTGGGCCGAAAGGGGCGCTCCCTGCGCCTAAATGCGGGATGGAAAACCACCCGAGGACCCGTTAGAGGGCACAGAACCCCCAAGTGCAACGTTTTTCCGAGGGTGGAAGTGTCCTTGGACTTCAAGCCCACCAGGCTGAGAGAAAGCCAGGCTCCGAAGTCTTGAGGGCTCCGATATTAGAAGTAGATGGAGTAGGGTAGGATTCCTCCGGCCTCTCCCTGGACCTTCTACAATAGGGTAGAAGCTGGGATTTGTTCTCTCACTTCCTGTTGTGGCAATGAAACAGGAAGTGAAAAATCTCCACTGGGGGAGGGGGCACTAGTTCTGGTGACAACCAGGGCTTCCTTCACTTGGGAGGGATTATCTCTCACTTCCTGTTGTGGCAATGAAACAGGAAGTGAAAAATCTCCCCAACAGGGGTGGCACTAGTTCTGGTGGCAACCAGGGATTCCCTCATTTTGGAGGGATTTCCTCTTACCTTACTTCCTGCTTTGGCTCTAGGACAGGAAGTGAAGGGTAATCTTCCAAATGGGGGCACTAGTTCTGGTGACAACCAGGGCTTCCTTCACTTGGGAGGGATTACCTCTCACTTCCTGTTTTGGTTCTGGGAGAGGAAGATAAATCTCCCTGATGGTGACAACCGAGGATTCCTTTACTTTGGAGGGATTTCCTTCCACTTCCTGTTTTGGTTCTGGGACAGGAAGTGAAGGGAAATCTCCCCAACGGGGGTGGCACTAGTTCTGGTGGCAACCAGGGATTCCCTCACTTTGGAGGGATTTCCTCTTACTTCCTGCTTTGGCTCTAGGACAGGAAGTTAAGGGTAATCTTCCCAATGGGGGTACTAGTTCTGGTGACAACCAGGGCTTCCTTCACTTGGGAGGGATTTTCTTCCACTTCCTGTTTTGGTCCTGGGAGAGGAAGAGAAATCTCCCTGATGGTGACAACTGGGGATTCCCTTACTTGGGAGGGATTTCCTTCCACTTCCTGTTTTGGTTCTGGGACAGGAAGTGAAAGGAAATCCCCCCCAATGGGGACAAAGTTTTCTGGTGACAATCAGTGATTCACTTTGGAGGGGTTTCCTCTAACTTCCTGTTGTGGCTATGAAACAGGAAGTGAAGGGAATTCTCCCCAAAAAGACACTAGTTCTAGTGACAACTAGATTCTTTCGAGGGATTTCCTCACTTCCTGTTTTGGCTAGAGAACAGGAAGTAAAGAGAAATCTCCCCAAAGGGACACTAGTTTTGGCGACAACCAGGGATTCCATCACTTCAGACGAATTTCCAGGGAGCCCCCAGACAACTAGGGTGCAAATATATTTCAGGAAGCAATGTTGTTGGCTGCCCAATGTGTTTATTGGTCAACAGGGCCACTGATAGGGGGCTGCTGTCGGCCCCTTTGTGCTAGCTTCAGAGTGTATTCATCCAGTGGGGGAGGGGGGAGGGTCCAGGGGCGGGGAGGGGACCTTTCTTTATTTTCCATGGGGTCCACGGGTAGTATTACCAAGGGCCACGGCCCCCCAACATTTATAGTGAGTACCTGGGGTCCTATTAATTCAGCCAGTGGGCCCGAGAAGACGGGACTTTTTGTTCGCTTTTGGGAGCATTCCTGACCTCTGCACTCTGTACGCTGCATACCCCTGTCCCCTGCACTCTGTACGTTGCATACTCCTGACTTCTGCACTCTGTACGTTGCATCCCCGTCCCCTGCACTCTGTACGTTACATACTCCTGTCCCCTGCACTCTGTACGTTACATACTGTCCCCTGCACTCTGTACGTTACATCCCCCGTCCCCTGCACTCTGTACGTTACATACTCCTGTCCCCTGCACTCTGTACGTTACATACCCGTCCCCTGCACTCTGTACGTTACATCCCCCTGTCCCCTGCACTCTGTACGTTACATACTCCGTCCCCTGCACTCTGTACGTTGCATACTCCTGTCCCCTGCACTCTGTACGTTACATCCCCCTGTCCCCTGCACTCTATACGTTACATACTCCGTCCCCTGCACTCTGTACGTTGCATACTCCTGTCCCCTGCACTCTGTACGTTACATCCCCCTGTCCCCTGCACTCTGTACGTTACATCCCCCTGTCCCCTGCACTCTGTACGTTACATCCCCCGTCCCCTGCACTCTGTACGTTACATACTCCTGTCCCCTGCACTCTGTACGTTACATACTCCTGACCCTTGCACTCTGTGCGTTGCATACTCCTGTACGTTACATCCCCCTGTCCCCTGCACTCTGTACGTTACATCCCCCTGTCCCCTGCACTCTGTACGTTACATCCCCCTGTCCCCTGCACTCTGTACGTTACATCCCCCTGTACCCTGCACTCTGTACGTTGCATACTCCTGTCCCCTGCACTCTGTACGTTACATACTCCTGTCCCCTGCACTCTGTACGTTACATCCCCCTGTACCCTGCACTCTGTACGTTGCATACTCCTGTCCCCTGCACTCTGTACGTTACATCCCCCTGTCCCCTGCACTCTGTACGTTACATCCCCCGTCCCCTGCACTCTGTACGTTACATACTCCTGTCCCCTGCACTCTGTACGTTACATACTCCTGTCCCCTGCACTCTGTACGTTACATACTCCTGTCCCCTGCACTCTGTACGTTACATCCCCCTTTCCCCTGCACTCTGTACGTTACACCCCCCTGTCCCCTGCACTCTGTACGTTACACCCCCCTGTCCCCTGCACTTTGTACGTTACATACTCCTGACCCCTGCACTCTGAACGTTACATCCCCCTGTCCCCTGCACTTTGTACGTTACATACTCCTGACCCCTGCACTCTGAACGTTACGTTACATCCCCCTGTCCCCTGCACTCTGTACGTTACACCCCCCTGTCCCCTGCACGTTACATCACATCCCCCTGTCCCCTGCACTTTTTACGTTACATACTCCTGATCCCCTGCACTCTGAACGTTACATCCCCCTGTCCCCTGCACTCTGTACGTTACATCCCCCTGTCCCCTGCACTCTGTACGTTACATCCCCCTGTCCCCTGCACTTTGTACGTTACATACTCCTGACCCCTGCACTCTGAACGTTACATCCCCCTGTCCCCTGCACTCTGTACGTTACATACTCCAGACCCCTGCACTCTGTACGTTACACCCCCCCTGTCCCCCTGCACTCTGTACGTTACATCCCCCTGTCCCCTGCACTTTGTACGTTACATCCCCCTGTCCCCTGCACTCTGTACGTTACACCCCCCCGTCCCCCTGCACTCTGTACGTTACATCCCCCTGTCCCCTGCACTTTGTACGTTACATCCCCCTGTCCCCTGCACTCTGTACGTTACATCCCCCTGTCCCCTGCACTTTGTACGTTACATCCCCCTGTCCCCTGCACTCTGTACGTTACATCCCCCTGTCCCCTGCACTTTGTACGTTACATACTCCTGACCCCTGCACTCTGTATGTAGGCTCAAGTTCTATGCCTTTCCACTGCCACGCCCACAATTCACCTCAGCATGCTGCCTCACTATGGCCCTCTGGGTGTTCAAGGCTCCCCCCTCCCCCCCCCCCCCCTAGTCAGGTAGTCCGTACAGAACCTCATACCATCCAATGGCAGCCCTGACAGCCAACAATCTGACACAGGAGGTGGGAGGAGTCGGACCCTCAACTTTATTTTCAAAATTTGCACATCAGACCAATTCTAGATCTGAAGGACACGACACCGTCACACTTTACGTGGCTTCTGGTCGACTTCTCCATGGTCTCCAAAATCTGCAAAGTCGATCTAATAAGTCAATCAAGTAAAGCCGGACACACACACGGGTCGAATTCCGAAAGCATTTTCCTTTATCGAGAACCTTTTCTAAGAATTTTCTTTCACCACAGCAACGGACGATTTTTCGAGTGGTCACTGAATTTGAGCGATCGGGGATGCTGGAATTTTTTTTTTTTTAAAAACGAACGAATTTCTAAATCCAGGATTGGAGAACAGTCCGAGAAATGTCACTGAAAAAAAAAAATGAGCTGGGAAAAATTCTTGGCCACGAAAATTCTTTTCTGTAGCCACAAGAGGTGAAGTCAAAGGCTCGATTGGTCAAATGGTGGCGCCATTGCATTGCGACACGCACGAACGAAAATTCTTGAGCACGAAAATTCTCTTCTGTGGCCACATGTGGTGAAGGTAAATGCTCGGTCGGTCAAATGGTGGCGCCACATGGAGGTGAAGGCTTGGTCGGTCAAATGGTTGCACCACATGGAGGTGAAGGCTTGGTCGGTCAAATGGTTGCACCACATGGAGGTGAAGGCTCGGTCGGTCAAATGGTGGCGCCACATGGAGGTGAAGTCAAAGGCTCGGTCGGTCAAAATGGTGGTGCCACAAGAGGTGAAGGTAAAGGCTCGGTCGGTCAAATGGTGGCACCACATGAAGGTGAAGTCATAGGCTCGGTCGCTCAAATGGTGGTACCATTGGATTGCGAAACGCACGAACAAAAATTCTTGGCCACGAAAACTCTCTTCCGTAGCAACATGGAGGTGAAGGCTCGGTCGGTCAAATGGTGGCACCACATGGAGGTGAAGGCTCGGTCGGTCAAATGGTGGCGCCATTGGATTGCGAAACGCATGAACGTAAATTCGTGGCCACGAAGACTCTCTTCCGTAGCAACATGGAGGTGAAGTCAAAGGCTCTGTCGGTCAAATGGTGGCGCCACATGGAGGTGAAGTCAAAGGCTCGGTCGGTCAAATGGTGGCGCCACATGGAGGTGAAGTCAAAGACTTGGTCGGTCAAATGGTGGCGCCACATGGAGGTGAAGTCACAGGCTCGGTCGATCAAATGGTGGCGCCATTGTATTTCCTATTTTCCAAATTTTCGGAATTCGACCCGTGTACGGCCTACGTAAGTTCTGTTAGACCAAAACCACTTCAATCGAGTTGCCTTCGTTGACGTCACTCGGTATCTCTTGCTCGTGGATCTTCTGGTGGGACTCCAGGTAACGAATCTGCGAGTAAGTCGTACCGCACTTCGAGCGGCTGAACGATTTTCCCCTTCGTACGTCCCTCCTGGCGTCGGAGAAGATCTCCCGACACGTGCAAAGCGGCACAGTCGTACCCGTGAACCTGCCTGTGCCGATCGAGGTGGCCCATTTCCTGGAAAGCCTTGCTGCAGGTGTGGCAGCTGAAGGGCCGGTAGCCCGTGTGCATCAGGTAATGTCTGTGGAGGCTGGAGACGCGGGTGAAAGTCCTGGAGCAAAGGCTGCACTTGAGGACCTCCAGGCCTTCTTCCGGTTCCTCAACTTGACGTTTCTTTGAAGGCATCTCCAAGCGTTTCGAAGGAAGCTCCTCAACGTTGGACCAAAGGCGTTCCCCCGAGCCCAACCCTTCCTCGGCGCGCCGGGCCCGGCCCAGCTTGGCATTGAAGCTCTTCTGGAAAAGGCGGCACGGGTAGGGTGGGTCCCCCTTGTGAACGCGCCGGTGCTTCAGCAGCTCGCTGGCGTCTCGGAAACCCTTGAGGCAGATGGAGCATTTGAAGGGCTTTTCACCCGTGTGGACCAAGCGGTGGCGCTGGAGGTGGGTGGCTTGCCGGAAGCTTTGGTTGCACAGGTGGCAGGTGAAGGGCTTGAGGCCGGTGTGGATGACGGCGTGCTTCCTCAGGTTGGAGGAGTTGTTGAAGCACTTCTTGCACTCGGCGCACTCGTAGAGTTTTTGGCCGGAAGGTCCAAGCTTCAGGTGAACGGGGCGGTGGTCTTCAAGGTCCTTCTTGGTCAAGAACCAGTCGCTACAGTAGGAACACTGGTAGGCCCCGGCCAGGTCGTTATTTTCATTGGCGGCCACGACGAGACGTCTCTTCTCGGGTTTCCGTAGGACCAGCAACTCTCCGTGCTTCTCCTGGTGGCGCTTCATGTAACAAATGCGGGAGAAGCTCTTCCCGCACACCGGGCAGCTGTAAGGTCGCTCTCCCGTGTGGACCCGAAGGTGGACCCTCAGCTCGGTGGAGTCGCGGAACCCCTTCATGCAGTGGGGGCACTGGAAGGGTCGCTCCCCCGTGTGCACCAAGCGGTGGCGGTCCAGCTGGGACTTCTGCCGGAAGCGGCCGCCGCACTCCTCACAACCGTAGGGCCTCAGGTCCGCGTGGATGTGTTTGTGGCGCCTCAGGTTGGAGGGGTCGGAGAAGGAACGACCGCACAAGTCGCACGCGTACTGCTTCTTCCCGCGGACGAACGTCGGAGGGTCGCCGGTGACGCCGGACTTCTCCAGGAAGTCTCCCATGGAAAAAGGGTCGCTGTCCAGCTTGGCTTGCGCCGCCTTCATGCTGTCCAGCATGTCGTTCAGGCAGGACGTCAGTCCGTCCATTTTTGCTTCCGGGTTCAATGCTGAAAGATAAAAAAAAAAATTGTAAAAATTAAAATTAGATCAGGATTTAAAAAAATAAATAAATACATTTTAGATCAGGATTAAATAAACAAATAAATAAATTTTAGATCAGGATTAAAAAAAAAATGAATTTTAGATCAGGATTAAGAAAAAAAATGAATATTAGATCAGGATTAAATAAACAAATAAATAAATTTTAGATCAGGATTAAAAAAAAAATAAATATTAGATCAGGATTAAATAAACAAATAAATAAATTTTAAATCAGGATTTAAAAAAAATGAATTTTAGATTAGGATTAAAAAAAATTAATATTAGATCAGGATTAAATAAATACATTTTAAATCAGGATTTAAAAAAATAATAATTTTAGATCAGGATAAAAAAAATGATTAGATCAGGATTAAATAAATAAATACATTTTTAAATCAGAATTTAAAAAACAAAATAATTTTAGATCAGGGTTAAATAAAAAAAAAAAAAGAATATTAGATCAGGATTAAAAAAATAAATTTTAAATCAGGATTTAAAAAAAATGAATTTTAGATTAGGATTAAAAAAAAATAATATTAGATCAGGATTAAATAAATACATTTTAAATCAGGATTTAAAAAAATAATAATTTTAGATCAGGATAAAAAAAATGATTAGATCAGGATTAAATAAATAAATACATTTTAAATCAGAATTTAAAAAAAAAAAATAATTTTAGATCAGGGTTAAAATAAAAAAAAAAAAGAATATTAGATCAGGATTAAAAAAATAAATTTTAAATCAGGATTTAAAAAAAATGAATTTTAGATCAGGATAAAAAAAAAAAAAAATATTAGATCAGGATTAAATAAATAAATACATTTTAATTCAGAATTTAAAAAAAATGAATATAAGATCAGGATTAAATAAATAAATTTTAAATCAGGATTTAAAAAAAAAAAAATTTTAGATCAGGATGAAAAAAAAAATGAATATTAGATCAGGATTAAAAAAATAAATAAATACATTTTAAATCAGGATTTTTAAAAAAAAATGAATTTTAGATCAGAATTTAAAAAAAAAAAAAAATGAATAAAAAAAAATCAAATTATTAAAAAAAAATAAAAAAAAAACATCTCTGCAATAAATGCCCATTTCCTGGGTTTAATCCCTTTAACCCTTTCACTGCCAGGGCTGATGTTGCATTTATTTGCACCCATGTTTAAAAGAAATAATTTAAGGCCTGAAGATTACTTAAAACCCCCAAACATGATATATTTTCCAAAAGCGGACACCCTGGAGAATAAAATAGTGGTAGTTCCAAAAAACGTTTTTCTTTTTTTTATGTCGCATGATATTACACAAGGGTTTCTGAAAAACTAAATTTCAAGAAAATAATACGCTGCGGCTAAAGTTATTTTAAGAGCACACAAACGAAATATATTTTTTTGGGGATAAAAAAAAAAAAAAAAAAAAAAAAAAAAAAAAAAAAAAGATGAGGGTGCTCCAAATAAAAAAAAAAAAAAAAGTACCCAACATGTCAAACCTTAAAATGGCGTGCGCCCATGAATTATGACAAACTTCGGTACCCTATATTTTCCATAGGTGATGCTGATAATACATATTATGATAATATTTATAATAAAAAAAAATAAATTAAAAATAATAATAATAAAATAATTAAAAATTATAAATAAATATAATATAAAAAAATAAAATTAAAATAATTAAAAAAAAAAAATCATAATGATAATAATGAAGAACAATAACAACATAAACATAAATGAAAATAAAAATAAAATAGGTGATGCTGATAATACATTTTATATAATGACAATAATTATAAAAATAAAATACTGAAAAAAACCAATAAAAAAAAATAAAAAAAAAAAAAAAAAAAAAATATATAAAAAAAAAAAAATGATAACAAATAAATAACGGAGTTAAAAATAATAATAAAAAAAAAAATCCTAATTATATTAATGACGGCAATAATAACATAAACATAATGAATATAAAAATATTTTCCATAGGTGATTCTGATAATACATATTATATAATGAAAATTTTTATAAAAAAAATAAAATACTGATAATAATAATAATAAAAAAATAAAAAAAAATATTATAAAAAAGGATAACAAATAATAACGGAGTTAATAATAATAAAAAAAATAATCCTAATTATAATAATGATGGCAATAATAAAAAATATAATGAATATAAAAATATTTTCCATAGGTGAATGCAGATAATACAATTAATATAATGAAATAATAATAAAAATAAAAATACTGATACCAATAATAATAATAATAATAAAAAAAAAAAAAATAATAATATTATAAAGAATGATAACAATGATTTAATAAAAATAAAAAAAAAATGCTACCAATAAATAATAATAATATATTAAAAAATTAAAAAAATATAAAAAAAAATAATATTATAAATAATGATAACATAAATAAAAAAAATAATAATAAAAAAAAAAAGAATCCCAATTACAATAAATGACGACGACAATAATAACATAAACATAGTCTATGTAACTATGTCAAAAAATAAAATGGCGTGCGCCTGGGAATTGGTGACAAACTTTGGTACCCTATATTTTCCAAAGGTGATGCTGATAAAAACATATTATATAATGATGATAAAAATAATAAAAAAAAATAAAAAAAATTATTATATTATAATAAAAATAATATAAATAATAATGGCGTTAATAATAATAAAAAAATCTAATCATAATGATAAATAATGACAATAAAAACATGAAATAGTTAGCCTGGCTGAAAAAAAAGATGAAAGTTCATCTAGTTCAACCATAAAAAAAAAAAAAAAAAATAATGATGAAAATAATAAAAAATAATAAAAATAAATAAAATGATGATGATATTAAAAATGATTCATATCAAAATATTGATAAAAAAAAAAAAAAAAAAATCACAAAAAAATAAAATATATACAGTAAATAATAATAAATAAAATGCTAAAAAAGAATAAAATAAATCAAAATAATAATACTAATATATATAAGAATAATACTAATAAAAAAATGAGAATAACAATAATAAAGATAAAAATGATGATGATGATTTTGTTAATAATAATATTTTAAATAATAAAATGTAAAAAAGATATTACAAATGTAAATAATGATATTATTATTAATCATATAATAAAAGCAGTAACAATAAATAACAATTTTAATATAATAACATAATAATGCTAAAAAAATTATAACAATAAAAAAGAATTAAATAAAGAGATTATTAATTATAAATAATGATAATAATATAAATAATAAAACAAATCGTAATAATATTAATTATATAAATAATGATTAAAAAAAAATTAAATAAAATGTAAATGATAATAGTATATATGAATAATACAAATAAAAATAATACAATAATAAAAAAAATAAAAATAATAATAACAGTAATATTGTAATAATAAAATATAAAAAAAAAAATAGAAATAATAATAATAATGCTGATGATCTATGACAATAACCCTGCATATGGCGGTGTATTGGGCGGTGATGGCGGTCTCGGTGGTCCTGCACACATAATACACGCAGTCCTGCACACGAGGACAGATCGGGGGTCTGACATTCGGTACAATTACCTCCAGGGTCGCTCTGTCACAGATCACACATTGGTCCCCATTGCTGGACTCGTCCCATCCCCCCCCCCCCCCATACACACTGCACAGGCTGAGCTCACAGGAAGGTGCGCCCTGTAATGGTGTTCAGGAAACACAGCGCAGAATGTTGGTTCCCCCATCAGAGCTCTCACTGTCAGATGTAAAGAATCGTCATCCTCTGTATCCGTCACTATCAGCCACCTCTCTTCATTCCCTCCCCCTCCATTCATTCATCCCTCTCTATTCATCCTGCGCTTTCATTCATCCACTTCTGTTCATTTATCCCTCCACCTTAATTATTTCCTCCACCTTCATTCATTCATACCCTCCATCTCTGTTCATTCATCCCTCCATCTCTGTTCATTCATCCTGTTCATCCCTCTGTTCATTCATCCCTTCCATCTCTGTTCATTCATCCTTCCATCTCTGTTCATTCATCCTTCCATCTCTGTTCATCATCCTTCCATCTCCATGCCTCCATTCATTCCTCTGCCATCATGTTCATTCATTCCTCCACTAATTAATCCCTCCACCTCTGTTCTCATTCATTCCTCTGCTTCTATCCAATCATCCCTCCATATTCATTCATTCATCATTCATCCATCTGCATTCCTACACCTCTCATCATTCATTCCTCCACATCCATCCATTGCTCTGCCTCCATATTCATTCATTTATTCCTCCACCATTATTCATTCATCCCTCCACCATTATTCATTCCTCTGCCATCTCCATTCATTTCCTCCTCCATAGCTCCTTCACTCTTCCATCTCCATTCCTATGCCTCTCATCATTCATCCCTTTAACCTTCATTCACACCTTCCTCCATCTCCATTTTTCATCCAACCTCCATCTACTCATCCCTCCACCTTCATTCACCTCTATCCATTCCATTTCTCTGCATCCACCTCCATCCATTCATTCATCCACCTCCATCCATTCATTCCTCCACCCCTCTGACTCCACCTCCACCATTCATCCATCCATTCATTCCTCCATCCATTCATTATCCTATCTCATTGGCCTCATCATGTTCTGTGGCTGTCCTCTAGAGGCGGGCGTGTCCTTACACCCCAATGGAGGCGTTCCCACCCGGGGCCCCGCCCCCCCTGAACACGCTTTCTATTTTTTTATTCTCTTTTTTACACATTTAACCCTTTTTCTGTTTGTCTGCATAACTGTGTGACCATCCCACTATGTGACGTCATCCTGCAGGTGACTGGTCCTCTTTATGGAGGGGGCGGGGTCTACCAGGCTCCCTGTGGCTCCTCCCCCCGGTCAGTTTTTTTCTTTTGATAATAAAAAACAACTCAGGAAATGACCATTTCTGACCATTGGGGCCCAATATATCCTGACTATAGGAAGGTCCCATCACCTGGGGGGAGGGGCTCCAGATTCGGAATCCGCTGATCGATCTCTCCTCCGATCTCTCCACACACGTACAACGGGATCGCTCAGCCACGCCACGCCCACTGTACGGAAGCAGAGCTTGCCAGGCCCACGCCCTCTCCCTCTCCTCCCCGCCCCTTTGTTTTTGATGCGGATTGATGACGTGTTGGGGCGCACTGGGAGTGACGTCAGGTGTCGGGGAATTGGCGGTATCCTGGGCCTGTGTCCGGTCGGAGGGTTCTGAGGGGCCGCCATGGGTTTCCTGAAGCTGATAGAGATCGAGAACTTCAAGTCGTACAAAGGGCGGCAGATCATAGGACCCTTCCGCCGCTTCACCGCCATCATCGGCCCCAATGGCTCCGGTGAGAGGACAGAACTCCGCCGTGTGCAGTGTATACAGAGGGGGGGTGACATCCACAATTCACTGGAGGAGGGGTCCACCATCTACAGAGGGCTGCGTGGGGGCCCTTCCGGCCTCTGGGGGCCACGTGTGAGCTTTTCTGGCCTCTGGGTGCCCGTCCGGCCTCTGGGGGCCGCGTCGGTGCCCGTCCGGCCTCTGGGGGCCGCGTCGGGGCCCGCCGTCGGTGCCCGTCCGGCCTCTGGGGCCCGTCCGGCCTCAAGGGCCCGTCCGCGTCGGTGCCCGTCCGGCCTCTGGGGGCCCGCGTCGGTGGGGTGCCCGTCCGGCCTCTGGGGGTCCGCGTCGGTGCCCGTCCGGCCTCTCTGGGGGCGCGTCGGTGGGGGGTCCGTCGTGCCCGGCCTCTGGGGGCCGGTGCGTCCGGCCTCGGTGCCCGTCCGGCCTCTGGGGGGCCGCGTCGGTGCCCGTCCGGCCCTCTGGGGGCCACATGTGAGCTTTCCGGCCTCTGGCCTCGGTGCCCGTCCGGCCTCTGGGGGCCGCGTCGGTGCCCGTCCGGCCTCTGGGGGTCGCGTCGGTGCCCGTCCGGCCTCGGGGCCCGTCCGGCCTCTGGGGGCCGCGTCGGTGCCCGTCCCGGCCTCTGGGGGCCGCGTCGGTGCCCGTCCGGCCTCTGGGGGTCGCGTCGGTGCCCGTCCGGCCTCTGGGGTCGGTCGGGCCCGTCCGGCCTCGCGTCGGTGCCCGTCCGGCCTCTGGGGGTCGCGTCGGTGCCCGTCCGACTGCATTGAACTGAAAAAATATTCAATCCAAGAATGTGGATTTTATCATTTATTAAAAATTTAAAAAAAAAAATTGGGTCTGGCGGCAGAAGGTTTGGGTCCGGTGTGGACGGGCGTTCGCATTGATGATGTCAGAGATTTGGGAGCTTCTATGGTAATTCGAAAATCATTGAAGTTGACCTGAGCGACTTTGCTGTGTGATGTCATCACTGGGTCTCTGTGCTTCTCTATGCATGCGAACAAATGCCCGACCAACAACGTCGGCCCTCGGATGATGTGGGCTAATCCAGCGTGCGGACAATAACATATTTTTTTTTCCTTTTTCTTTCAACAGGAAAGTCCAATCTCATGGACGCCATCAGCTTTGTGCTGGGGGAGAAGACGAGTAACCTGAGAGTGAAGACCCTGCGGGATCTGATCCACGGAGCGCCGGTGGGGAAGCCCGCCGCCAACCGCGCCTTTGTCAGCATGGTGTATGAGGAGGACAGCGGGGGGGAGAAGGTCTTTCTCCAGACATATCATCGGTAAAGGGGGGGGGGGGGGGGGGGGGATTCCCTCATTCACACGCGACCCTGACGCTGTCGGTTCGCTGTCCCGTTCTGTGTTTGCAGCAAAACGCTCGGTGAATTCGCGTGGACGGGCGTAAAAACCCGATTCACGGGAGGAAATGGTTGAATGCATGCGGTAATTAACCACTTCCTTTCCTGTCCGGCCCATGTACATAAACGGCTGGGCGGGAGCAGTGCAGGGGTGGGTGACCGTTTATAAACGTCCTCCCTGCTTGTGGGCGCTCCCTGGGACCAGCGCGGCAACCGCGATCCTCCGATCTAGTCGGGGCGCTTTCACCCCCTTCCTGCCCAGCCACTTTCAGCATTATCACACTTTGAATGGCGATTGTGCGGTCATGCAACACTGAGACGTGGATGACTGGAGACGTGGATGGATGGAGCTGGGCATGAATGGAGAGACGATGGATGGATGAATGAATGGAGCTGTGGATGGATGAATGGAGACGTGGATGGATGGATGAATGATCACTGTGGATGGTGAATGGAGACGTGGATGACTGGAGGATAGAATGAATGAATGGAGCTGTGGATGGGCACGGAGCTGTGGATGGATGAATGGAGCTGTGGATGGATGAATGAATGGAGACAATGAATGGAGCTGTGGATGGATGACTGGAGACGTGGATGGATGAATGAATGGCGCTGTGGATGGATGAAATGAGACATTGGATGGAGTGAATGACTGGAGACGTAGATGGATTAATTGAATGGAGAAGTGGATGGATGGAGACGTAGATGAATGAATTGGATGGATGAATGAATGGAGCTGTGGATGAATGAATGAGACATGGATAGATGAATGAATGGAGCTGTGGATGGATGAATGGAGAACGTGGATGGATGGATGAATGGAGCTGTGGATGGTGGATGGATGGATGGATGAATGAATGAGCTGTGGATGGATGAATGGAGCTGTGGATGATGGATGAATGAATGAACCTGAATGGAGCTGTGGATGGATGGATGAATGGAGCTTGTGGATGGATGAATGAAGATCATGGATGGAGCTGTGGATGGATGAGTGGAGACGTGGATGGATGAATGGAATGGAGCTGTGGATGGATGATGAGACGTGGAGACATGGATGGATGAATGAATGGAGCTGTGGATGGATGAATGGAGACATGGATTGGATGGATGACTGGAGACGTGATGGATGAATGAATGGAGACGATGGATGGATGAATGAATGGAGCTGTGGATGGATGTGAATGGAGACGTGGATGGATGGAGCTGTGGATGGATGAATGGTAGACGTGGATGATGGGATGGATGATATGAATGAATGGAGCTGTGGATGGATGAATGGGAGATGTGGATGGATGAATGAATGGAGCTGTGGATGGATGTGAAGTGGATGAATGGGAATGGATGAGCTGTGATGGTATGACTGGAGACGTGGATGGATGAAATGAATGGATGGCGCTGTGGATGGATGAATGGAGACATTGGATGGAGGAATGACTTAGACGTGAATGAATGAATGGAGTGGATGGGTCTCTAATGGATTAAATTGAATGGAGAAATGGATGTGGATGAATGAATGGAGCTGTGGATGAATGAATGGAGACATGTGATAGACATGAATGAATGGAGCTGTGGATGGATGAATGGAGACGTGGATGGATGGATGATGAAAATGGAGCAGTGGATGGATGAATGGAGACGTGGATGGATGGATGAATGAATGGAGACATGAATGGAGCTGTGGATGGATGAATGAGAGCTGTGATGGATGATGAATGAATGTGAACTGGATGTGGAGATAGTGGATTGGATGAATGAATGGAGACCATGGATGGAGCTGTGGATGGATGACTCGAGACATGGATGGATGAGTGGAGACGTGGATGTGATGAGTGGAGACGTGGATGGATGAATGAAACTGGCGCTGTGGATGGAATGAATGGAGACATTGGAGATGGAGGAATGACTGGAACGTGAATGAATGGTGATTGGGTGGATGGAGATATGAATAGAATGGAGACCGTAGATGGATTAATCCATGGAATGGAGATGTGGATCGGATGGATGGATGGAGACGTGGATGGGAGGGGGAGTTTGCTTTATATATTAATGAATGAAATGAAGTTAGGACAGCACAGTGGCTAAGTGGTTAGCACTTCCACCTGGCAGTACTCGGGTCTTCGGTTCGAATCCCAACCACGGCACCAACCTGCCTGGAGTTTGTATGTTCTCTCCCTGTGCCTGTGTGTTTCCTCCGGGTACTCCGGTTTCCTCCCACACTCTAAAGAACAACATGCTAAATGATAGGTGAATTGGCTCCTGTCTATATTGGCCCTAGTATGTGTATGTATGAATGTGAGTTAGGGACCTTTGATTGTACGCTCCTCAGGGGCGGGGCCTGATGTGAATGTACAATATATATGTAAAGCGCGAGTACATTGATGGCGATATATAAATACCCTGAAATGAATGAAGTTGCAGATTGGTGGGTGGTGCTCAGGGGGGAGGGTTAGTTCCACTTCAATGACAGAGGGTTACTACCGAATAAACTGGTCATTAGCAGAAATGTGGGGGCTCTATTCTGCTCCATGGGGGGGGGGAATGTTCGGCCTCCATTCGGGGGGGGTACAGGTATGAGAGGTGAGATGGTTAAAAACCTTCCCCCCTGTACACGCCCCCCTCTGGACCCCTCGGTGCTTCCTGCAGGAAGCCGCGGTACGCAGCGTTTTGCGTGTTTTTATCCCGTTCCCTGACGGCTTTGTCTTCCTTCTCATCTTCAGGCGGATCTTTGAGTACAGAATCAACAGCAAGGTGGTGCAGCTGGCGGAGTACAGCGACCAGCAGTTGGGAGAAGTTGGGGGATTCCTGTATTAAGGCCCGAACTTGGTTTTGGTGTTCCAGGTACGTTGGTTACATACAGAGACGGTCCCGCTCGGCTCTCACGATCGGACGTACGTAGGGGGAAGGAAAATCGGTCCGAAATGTTCGGTGCCGCCACAAACTCGGCTGTGTTCCTGATTGAATGGGGAAGGGAGGCGCAGGACACCCTTTGACACCTAATTTACAAACCGGAGATTCCCCGCCGGCACCCATGCTGCGATGGCAGAGGGACACCATGCATAGACAGGGGAGAGTGTCTGCATGTAACAAGATGATCTCTCCCCTGTCATTTACACAACATGCTGCTTATTAAAAATTATGGCTCTTGCATAAGCCATAAAATTAGCAGCATGCTTAGTAAAAAGGCGTCACACAGTTTTTTTTTCTTTTTGATCACCCCTCATTTTAACCCCTTCACCCCAGTGCCATTAGTACATGTCAGTGCTTTTTATTAGCACCATTAGTGACACTACTGCTTGTGGGGGTGAATGAAAAATGAATTTTTTTTTTTTTATCTATCTTTTTAGTAAAAATTAGTTTATATAGCCAAAAAATTATAATTTAAAAAAAAATTTTTTTACATTTTCTTTATTTTGTTTTGTTTTTTTTTTTATACATATTGTCACCCTAGTAGCAGTACAGTGTCACCATAGTGATAAGATTTTTTTTTTAATCTATCTTTTTATTTTAGTAAAAAACTTGGTTTATAACCAAAATTATAATTTAAAAAACAAATTGTTTACATTTTTTTAATTTTTTTTTTTTTACATATTGTCACTCCCTAGCAGTACAGTGTCACCATAGTCATCAGATTTTTTTTTATTTTATCTATCTTTTTAGTAAAAATATTAGTTTTATAACCAAAAATGATAATTTAAAAAAAAAATTGTTTACTTATTTTTATTTTATATTTTTTTTATTTTTTTTTTTACATATTCTCACCCTAGCAGTACAGTGTCACCATAGTGATAAGATTTTTTTTTTTATCTATCTTTTTAGTAAAAATTGGTTTATAACCAAAAATTATAATTTGAAAACAAAATTGTTTACATTTTTATTTATTTTTTTTTTTTTTTTTACATATCTCACCCTAGCAGTACAGTGTCACCATAGTGATAAGATTTTTTTTTATATCTTTTTAGTACAAATTAGTTTATAACCAAAAATTATAATTTGTAAAAAAACATTTTTGACATTTTAAATTTTTTTATCTTATTTTGTTTTTTTTTTTTTTGTTTTTTTTTTACACATTGTCACCCATAGCAGTGCAGTGTCACCATAGTGATAAGATTTTTTTTTTAATCTATCTTTTTAGTAAAAATTAGTTTATAATCAAACATTATAATTTTTGGTTATAAACTAATTTTTACTAAAAAGATAGATAGGAAAAAAAAATCTTTATCACCCCCCACATGGTGACCCTGTACTGCTAGGGTGACAATATGTTAAAAAAAAAGTTTACTGTTTTTTTTTTTTGTTTTGGGGTTTTTTCACATAGTGAAGCTGTACTACTTGTCGGGAGAGATTTAATTTTTTTTTTTTTTTTTACATTTTTATTTATCTTTTTATATTTGTTTTTTTTTTTTTTTTTTTTTTTTTTACATACCATGGTGACACTGTACTACCTATGGGGGGGTGATGATTTTTTTTTTTTTCTTCTTTTTAGTAAAAATTGGTTTATAACAAAAAAATTATAATTTAAAAACAAATTGTTGACATTTTTATTTTTATTTTATTTATTTATTTATTTTTTTTACATATTGTCACCCTAGCAGTACAGTGTCACCATAGTGATAAGATTTTTTATTCTCTATTTTTTTAGTACAAATTAGTTTATAACCAAAAATTATAATTTGTAAAAAACATTTTTGACTTTTATTTTTTTATCTCATTTTTTTTTTTTTTTTTTTTTTACACATTGTTTTTGGGTTTTATCACATAGTGAAGCTGTAATACTTGTCGGTGGTGATGAAGATTTATTTAAATTTTTTATTTTTTTATTTTTTTTACACTGATAGCTTTTACAGCCTTTATGGATGTAAAAAAAAAAGTCAGTGTAAAAAAAAAAAAAAAAAAACAAAAAAAAAAAACAAATGATGATAATAAAAAGATGAATAAAAATGTAAAAAAAAAAAAAAAAAAAAGAGAAATGATAGCCTTTGTTTTTTTTTTTTAACATTTTTCATCTTTTTATAATATTTGTTTTGCTTTTTTTTTTTTGTTTTTTTTACACATTGTCACCCATAGCAGTGCAGTGTCACCATAGTGATAAGATTTTTATTTTTTTAATCTATCTTTTTAGTAAAAATTAGTTTATAATTCAAAAATTATAATTTTTGGTCATTAACTAATTTTTACTAAAAAGATAGATAGAAAAAAAAAATCTTTATCACCCCCCACATGGTGACCCTGTACTGCTAGGGTGACAATATGTTAAAAAAAATGTTTACTTTTTTTTTGTTTTGGGGTTTTTTCACATAGTGAAGCTGTACTACTTGTCGGGAGAGATTTATTTAATTTTTTTTTTTTTTTTTTACATTTTTATTTATCTTTTTATATTTGTTTTTTTTTTTTTTTTTTTTTTTTTTTACATACCATGGTGACACTGTACTACCTATGGGGGGTGATAATTTTTTTTTTTTTATCTATCTTTTTAGTAAAAAATTGGTTTATAACCAAAAATTATAATTTAAAAAACAAATTGTTGACATTTTTATTTTTATTTTATTTATTTATTTATTTTTTTTACATATTGTCACCCTAGCAGTACAGTGTCACCATAGTGATAAGATTTTTTATTATCTATTTTTTTAGTACAAATTAGTTTATAACCAAAAATTATAATTTGTAAAAAACATTTTTGACTTTTATTTTTTTTATCTCATTTTTTTTTTTTTTTTTTGTTTTTACACATCGTCACCCATAGCAGTGCAGTGTCACCATAGTGATAAGATTTTTTTTTAATCTATCTTTTTAGTAAAAATTAGTTTATAATCAAACATTATAATTTTTGGTTATAAACTAATTTTTACTAAAAAGATAGAAAAAAAAAAGCTTTATCACCCCCCACATGGTGACCCTGTACTGCTAGGGTGACAATATGTTAAAAAAAGTTTACTTTTTTTTTTTTTTTTTTTTTATGTTTTTGGGTTTTATCACATAGTGAAGCTGTAATACTTGTCGGGGGTGATAAAGATTTATTTAATTTTTTTAATTTTTTTTTTTTTTTTTACATTTACAGCCTTTATGGATGTAAAAACATTCAGTGTAAAAAAACAAAGAAAAAAAACAAAAAAAAAAAAAAACAACAAATGATAATAATAAAAAGATGAATAAAAATGTAAAAAAAAAAAAAAAAAGGGAGAAATGATTTTTTTTTTTTTTTTTTAACATTTTTCATCTTTTTATAATATTTGTTTGGTTTTTTTTTTTTTGGTTTTTTTTTACATACCATGGTGACACTGCTGTACTACTTGGGGGGGTGATGAAGATTTTTTTTTTTTTTTTTTTTTTTTTTTTAACACTGATTGATTTTACACCCATAAAGGCTGTAAAAGCAATCATTTCTCCTTCTCTCTGTCTGCATTCCTGCAGCCATTGAGAACTACTGTGTGAGCTGTGATTGGTCACAGCTTGTCACATGGTACAAGGCTGTCGTGAATGGCCCTGTACCATGTGACCTCTGTGATCATTCACAGATTTCCCGTCTGGCCGTTTATGTACATGGGACGGACGGGAAGTGGTTAAAGTAGCGCAGTGCTGAATAGCAAAAAAAAAAAAAAATGTCCTGGCGCTGAAGGGGGGGGTAAAACTTTCCGCAGCGTGTCACAAATGTGCGTCGTCATTCTGTTTTCCTGTAGGGGGCGGTAGAATCGATCGCCATGAAGAATCCGAAGGAGCGGACGGCGTTGTTCGAGGAGATCAGCAGGTCGGGGGAGTTGGCGTCGGACTACGACAAGTGTAAGAAGGAGATGGTGAAGGCGGAGGAGGACACGCAGTTCAACTATCACCGCAAGAAAAATATCGCAGCCGAGAGGAAGGAGGCCAAGCAGGAGAAGGAGGAGGTCGGTGTCGCGCTGTTTTAGAACGAGTTAATCTATGGCAGCCAATCCCGGGACAGGACTGCCCAAAGGGGCCGGGTGTATCTGGATGTCCAGAGCACCCCCCACCTCCCCCTACCGTCAGGAGTCCCCCGCCCCCTCCCTTACATCACAATGTACTCCCCCTTCGCTTGAGCTGGGAAAACGAAAGTGCAGGGTCTGGAGAAGGACCGGAGGAGGGCTGGCGTTTGCTGATTGCTGAGACCAGGGGGATGCTGCAGCTGCACAGAGAGGCATGGGATCTGGTGGAGGAGTTCTGTCCTCCTCTCTGCTGCCAACTGCTGAGACCTGGGGGGGGGAGACAAGACTCTGCATGGAGAAGTGCAGGATCTGGTGTGGAGGAGTCCTGACCTCCTCTCTGCTGTGACTGCTAATACATGGTGGAAGCAGAGATGAGGGAGGTGCTGCAGCTGCACAGAGAGGCACGGGATCTGGCGGAGGAGTTCTGTCCTCTTGTAAGACATGGGAGCAGAGGTGAGGGGGATGCTGCATAGAGAGGTACAGGATCTGTAGGAGGAGTTCTGTCCTCCTCTAAGACATGGGGGCAGCAGAGATGAGGGGGATGCTGCAGCTGCACAGAGAGGCACAGGATCTGTGGGAGAAATTCTGTCGTCCTCTAAGACATGGTGGGAGCAGAGGTGAGAGGGATGCTGCAGCTGCACAGAGAGGTACAGGATCTGGCGGAGGAGTTCTGTCCTCTAATACATGGGAGCAGAGATGAGGGGGGGTGCTGCAGCAGCGGCACAGAGAGGCACAGGATCTGTCGGATGAGTCCTGTCCTCTAATACATAGCAGAGATGAGGGGGGTGCTGCAGCTGCACAGAGAGGTACAGGATCTGGCGGAGGAGTTCTGTCCTCCTCTCTGCTGCCAACTGCTGAGATGGGGGGGGGGTCAGAGATAAGCCTCTGCATGGAGAAGCGCAGGATCTGGTGGGGAGGAGTTCTGTCCTCTCTGCTGTGACTGCTAAGACATGGTGGCAGCAGAGATGAGGGGTTGCTGCAGCTGCACAGAAAGGCACAGGATCTGTAGGAGGAATACTGTTCTCCCCTCTGCTCCTGACTGCTGAGACCTGGGGTGGAGGGGGCAGAGACAAGCCTCTGCATGGAGAAGCGCAGGATCTGGTGGGGAGGAGTTCTGTCCTCCTCTCTGCTGTGACTGTTAGAACCTGGTAGCTAGCAGCAGAGATGAGGGAGGTTCTGCATCTGCACAGAGAGGCACAGGATCTGTCGGAGGAGTTCTGTCCTCTAATACATGGCAGCAGATGTGGGAGGTGCTGCAGCTGCACAGAGAGGCACAGCATCTGTCGGAGGCGTTCTGTCCTCCTCTAATACATAGGAGCAGAGATGAGGCGGGTGCTGCAGCTGCACAGAGAAGCTCAGGATCTGTCGGAGGAGTTCTGTCCTCCTCTAACACATGGGAGCAGCAGAGATGTGGGAGGTGTTGCAGCTGCACAGAGAAGTGCAGGATCTGTTGAAGGAGTTCTGTTCTCCTCTAATACATGGGAGCAGAGATGAGGGAGGTGCTGCAGCTGCACAGAGAAGTGCAGGAATAAGTAGAAGGAGTTCGGTCCTCTCTGCTACCGATTGCTAAGACATGGTGGCAGCAGAGATGAATGAGGTGCTGCAGCTGCACAGAAAAGCTCAGGATCTGTTGGAGGAGTTCCGTCCTTCTCTAAGACATGGGAGCAGAGATGAGGGGGGTGCTGCAGTGGCACAGAGAGGTACAGGATCTGTCGGAGGAGTTCCGTCCTTCTCTAAGACATGGGAGCAGAGATGAGGGGGGTGTGCTGCAGTGGCACAGAGAGGTACAGGATCTGTCGGAGGAGTTCCGTCCTTCTCTAAGACATGGGAGCAGAGATGAGGGGGGGTGCTGCAACTGCACAGAGAGGTACAGGATCTGTAGGAGGAGTTCTGTCCTCCTCTAAGACATGGTGGCAGCAGAGGTGAGGGAGGTGCTGCAGCTTCACAGAGAAGCTCAGGATCTGTTGGAGGAGTTCTGTCCTCCTCTAACACATGGGAGCAGAGATGAGGGGGGGTGCTGCAGCGGCACAGAGAGGCACAGGATCTGTCGGAGAAGTTCTGTCCTCTGTGGGAGCAGAGATGTGGGAGGTGCTTCAGCTGCACAGAGAGGTACAGGATCTGTAGAAGGAGTTCGGTCCTCTCTGCTACCGATTGCTAAGACATGGTGGCAGCAGAGATGAGTGAGGTACTGCAGCTGCACAGAGAAGCTCAGGATCTGTCGGAGGAGTTCTGTCCTCCTCTAATACATGGCAGCAGATGTGGGAGGTGCTGCAGCTGCACAGAGAAGTGCAGGATCTGTGGGAGAAGTTCTGTCCTCCTCTAAGCCATGGTGGCAGCAGAGATGTGGGAGGTGCTGCTGCACAGAGAGGTACAGGATCTGTTGGAGAAGTTCTGTCCTCCTCTAAGCCATGGTGGCAGCAGAGATGTGGGAGATGCTGCAGCTGCACAGAGAGGTACAGGATCTGTTGGAGGAGTTCTGTCCTCCTCTAATACATGGGAGCAGAGATGTGGGAGATGCTGCAGCTGCACAGAGAGGTACAGGATCTGTGGGAGAAGTTCTGTCCTCCTCTAAGCCATGGTGGCAGCAGAGATGTGGGAGGTGCTGCAGCTGCACAGAGAGGTACAGGATCTGTCGGAGGAGTTCTGTCCTCCTCTAAGACATGGGAGCAGAGATGAGGGGGTTGCCATAGCTGCAGGAGGGGTGCGAGGGCCACATGAACAAAGCGTTGTCTCACCCCGCCGCTCTCTCCGCAGGCCGAGCGTTACCAGCGGCTGAAGGACGAGGTGGCCCGAGCCCAGATCCAGCTGCAGCTGTTCAAGCTCTACCACAACGAGTCCGAGATCGAGAAGCTGAACAAAGAGCTGGGATCGAAGAACAAGGAGATCGACAAGGACAAGAAGCACATGGACAAGATCGAGGAGGAGCTGAAGGACAAGAAGAAGGAGCTGGGCAAAATGATGAGGGAGCAGCAATCCATCGAGAAGGAGATCAAGTAAGTCGATCCTGCCATTGTTAGAACTACTTGTGCCCCGCCCACCGACTTTTTTTTTTTTTTACGGCGGGGGCCTCCGCTGCGCTGGATCACGTACTTGTGCGCGATCCAGCATTTCTGGGCGTCGGTCATAGTTACTGTCAGTTTGCCCGCCGCACTACCGCTGTCCCACTATAAGTCGCCGATCACCACCGTTAGTAGCTGTGTCTCGGCCAATGAGGAGTGAGAAACCTGGGAGAGCCGAGGATCCTATGCATCTTCATGCATTAAAAAAAAAAAAAATCCTTAAGCCTTCTCAACCACTCTGACCTCTGGCACCGCCCACATGGAAGAAAAATATATTTGAAATACTAAAATTTTGGCCGTATTCAATATATTTCAATATAATATATTATGTTGAAATGCGTTTTTATTGCAAAAAATATATGAAAAATATATTTTCAAATATACTGTATTTCTAATCACTTCCTGTCCGGCCCGTGTATATAAAACGACCGGACGGTGGCAGTGCAGGGGCGGGTTGCCGTTCATAAATGGCGCTCGCCGTTTTAGCCTGTGCGCGCTCCCTGGGAGCGCGCGGCACCGTGATCCAGTGCTCGCTGTGTCCGGAGATTGCTGTACAGGACCTCTGTGATTGGCCAATCAGTGATCACATGAAGAGTAGTAAGCAAGATGTCACTTCTGACATCATTGCTTACTACGTGTGAAATCTGTGAATGATCACAGAGATCACATGGTACAGGGCTATTCACAACAGCCTCGTACCATGTGACAAGCTGTGACCAATCACAGCTCACACAGTATTTCTCAATGGCTGCAGGAATGCAGCCGGAGAGAAGGAGAAATGATTGCTTTTACAGCCTTTATGGGTGTAACAGCAATCGGTGTAAAAAAAGAAAAAAAAAAAATCTTCATCACCCCCCACAAGTAGTACAGTGTCACCATGGTGACCCCACACTGCTAGGGTGACAGTATGTAAAAAAAAAAAAAAAAAAAAAAATTTAATAAAAAAATGTGAAAAATTATAATTTTTGTTTATAAACTAATTCGTGTTTTTTTTTTTTTTTTTTTTTTTTTTTTTTTTTTTTTTACTAAAAGAGAGATGAATACATTTTGGCCAAGAGTTATGAAGAAAGATTATTTATTTGCAAAATTTTATACGAAAAAACACTTTTTTTTTTTTTTTTTTTTCTTTTTTTTAAATTTTTAAACTTTTTCATTTATATAGCAAAAAAATTAAAATCCCCGAGGTGAATGAATACCACCAAAGTAAAGTTGTATCTGTCTCAAAAAAAAAGGTTAAAAAAAAATTCACACTTGTACAGTGTCGCATGACCGCGCAATGGTCATTCAAAGTGTGATAGCGCTGAAAGCTGAAAATTGGCCTGGGGGGGAGGGGGGTGAAAGTGTCCGAACTGGAAGGGGGGGTGGAAAGTGTCCGAACTGGAAGGGGGGGTGAAAGTGTCCGAACTGGAAGGGGGGTGAAAGTGTCCGAACTGGAAGTGGTTAATGCATCTTCTTTTATTTCTGTCCTTTCTATAGGGAGAAGGACGCTGAGCTGAATCAGAAGCGCCCGCAATACATCAAAGCCAAAGAGAACACGTCCCACAAGATCAAGAAGTTGGAAGCCGCTAAAAAGTCCCTTCAGAACGCTCAGAAGCAATACAAGAAGCGTAAGGGGGACATGGATGAGCTGGAGAAGGAGATGCAGGCTGTGGAGAAGGCCAGGCAGGAGTTCGAGGAGCGGATGGAGGAGGAGAGCCAGAGCCAAGGCAGAGATCTGACGCTGGAGGAGAACCAGGTATGGAGGAGCCATGAGCACCACGGCGCCTTCCCTTCCCCCCACGTGTTCTCAGGACTGCAGGGATGTACAATTCCCACGCTCCGCCCGCCGCCTCTGACCGTCCCCCACGCTCCGCCCTCCGCCTCTGGCCGTCCCCCACGCTCCGCCCGCCGCCTCTGGCCGCCCCCACGCTCCGCCCGCCGCCTCTGACCATCCACGCTCCGCCCTCCGCCTCTGACCGTCCCCACACTCCGCCCGCCGCCTCTGACCGTCCCCCACGCTCCGCCCGCCTCCTCTGACCGTCCCCCACGCTCCGCCCGCCGCCTCTGACCGTCCCCCCCACGCTCCGCCCGCCGCCTCTGACCGTCCCCCACGCCACCGCCTCCCGCCCCACGCCTCCGCCCACGCCGCCGCCTCTGACCGTCCCCCACGCTCCGCCCGCCGCCTCTGACCGTCCCCCACGCTCCGCCCCGCCGCCTCTGACCGTCCCCCCGCTCCGCCCCGCCGCCTCTGACCGTCCCCCACGCTCCGCCCGCCGCCTCTGGACCGTCCCCCACGCTCCCGCCCGCCCTCTGACCGTCCCCCACGCTCCGCCCGCCCCGCCGCCTCTGACCGTCCCCCACGCTCCGCCCGCCGCCGCCGCTCTGACCGTCCCCCCCACGCTCCGCCCGCCGCCTCTGACCGTCCCCCACGCTCCGCCCGCCGCCTCTGACCGTCCCCCACGCTCCGCCCGCCGCCTCTGACCGTCCCCCTCGCTCCGCCCGCCGCCTCTGACCGTCCCCCACGCTCCGCCCAACGCCGCCTCTGACCGTCCCCCACGCTCCGCCCGCCGCCTCTGACCGTCCCCCACACTCCGCCCGCCGCCTCGCTGGCCGTCCCCCACGCTCCGCCCCTCCGCCTCTGGCCGTCCCCCACGCTCCGCCCGCCGCCTTGGCCGTCCCCCACGCTCCGCCCGCCCACGCCTCTCCTCTGACCATCCCACGCTCCGCCCGCCTCCTCTGACCGTCCCCCACGCTCCGCCCGCCGCCTCTGACCGTCCCCCACGCTCCGTCCCCCGCCGCCTCTGACCGTCCCCCACGCTCCGCCCGCCGCCCGCCTGGCCGATTCCCCACGCTCCGCCCTGGCTGTCCCCCACGCTCCGCCCGCCCCCTCTGACCGTCCCCACTCTCGCAGGACCCCCTCAATAGGTATGGTCAGAGGTGTAATTGCTGAGTGAAGCTCCGATGGTCAGCCTTAACTAAATACGGTTTTGGTAAAAAAAAAAAAAAAAACTTTTTTTATCAGGACAAGTAGATCGGGACCGCCGATTTAGTCCCTCGGACAAGTATTTTTTTAAAAAAATGTCCCCACCCCTGGACTGTTCTATAAATTCCCGGTTTAGTTCGGCTTCTGATGTTTTTTCTTCGCTCTCGCCCCTTTGCCGTCCCCCAGAAATATCACCGCTTAAAAGAAGAAGCCAGCAAGAGGGCCGCCCCCCTGGCGCAAGAATTGGAAAAGTTTAACCGCGATCAGAAGGCTGACCAAGATCGCCTGGATTTGGAGGAGAGGAAGAAAGTTCCCCGAGGACTGAAGTACGAGTGCAAACTGCTTCCCTTCCACTTCCTCTCCTTCTTTCCCTCACTTCCTCTGCTTCCCTCGCTTCCTCTGCTTCCCTCGCTTCCTCTGCTTCCCTCGCTTCCTCTGCTTCCCTCGCTTCCTCTGCTTCCTCGCTTCCTCTGCTTCCCTCGCTTCCTCTGCTTCCCTCGCTTCCTCTGCTTTCCCTCGCTTCCTCTGCTTTCCCCCGCTTCCTCTGCTTTCCCCCGCTTCCTCTGGCTTTCCCCCGCTTCCTCTGCTTTCCCCCCGCTTCCTCTGCTTTCCCCCCACGCTTCCTCTGCTTTCCCCCGCCGCCCTCTGCTTTCCCCCGCCTCCTCTGCTTTTCTCCCCCGCCTCCTCTGCTTTCCCCCCGCCTCCTCTGCTTTCCCCCTGCCCTCCTCTGCTTTCCTCCCTTTCGCCTCCTCTGCTTTTCCCCCCCGCCTCCTCTGCTTTCCCCCGCCCTCCTCTGCTTTCCCCCGCCTCCTCTGCTTTCCCCCGCCTCCTCTGCTTTCCCCCGCTTTCCCCCGCTTCCTTCTGCTTTCCCCCCGCGCTTTCCCCGCTTCCTCTGCTTTCCCCCGCGTTCCTCTGCTTTGTCCCCCCTTCCTCTGCTTTCCTCTGCTTTCCCCCGCGTCCTCTGCTTTCCCCCCCCAGCGTCCTCTGCTTTCCCCCCGCGTCCTCTGCTTTCCCCCGCGTCCTCTGCTTTCCCCCGCGTTCCTCTGCTTCCCCCCTTTCCCCCGCGTCCTCGCTCTGCTTCCCCTCGCTTCCTCTGCTTTCCCCCGCGTTCCTCTGCTTTCCCCCCGCCTCTGCTTTCCCCGCGTTCCTCTGCTTTCCCCCCGCGTCCCTCTGCTTTCCCCCGCGCGTCCTCTGCTTTCCCCCGCGCGTCCTCTGCTTTCCCCCGCCTCCTCTGCTTTCCCCCGCGGTCCTCTGCTTTCCCCCTTCCTCTTATTCCCCGCGTCCTCTTGCTTCCCTCCGCTTTCCCCCGCCCCTTCTCTGCTTCCCTTCGCTTCCTCTGCTTTCCCCCGCTCTTCCTCTGCTTTCCCCCGCTTCCTCTGCTTTCCCCGCGCTTCCTCTGCTTTCCCCGCGTTCCTCTGCTTCCCTCGCTTCCTCTGCTTTCCCCCCCCTCTGCGTCCTCTGCTTTCCCCCGCGTCCTCTGCTTTCCCCCGCGTCCTCTGCTTTCCCCCGCGTCCCTCTGCTTTCCCCCGCCTCTCTGCTCCCTGCTTTCCTTTCCCCCCCGCGTCCTCTGCTTTCCCCCGCGTCCTCTGCTTTCCCCCGCTCCTCTGCTTTCCCCCCGCGTCCTCTGCTTTCCCCCGCGTCCTCTGCTTTCCCCCGCGCGTCCTCTGCTTTCCCCCGCTTCCTCTGCTTTCCCCCGCTTCCTCTGCTTTCCCCCGCGTCCTCTGCTTTCCCCCGCTTCCTCCCACTTTCCTCGCTTCCTCTGCTTCCCTCCTCTGCTTTCCCCCGCGTCCTCTGCTTTCCCCGCGTCCTCTGCTTTCCCCCCCGCGTCCTCTGCTTTCCCCCGCTTCCTCTGCTTTCCCCCGCGTCCTCTTTCCCCCGCGTCCTCTGCTTTCCCCCGCGTTCTCTGCTTTCCCCCGCGTCCTCGCTTTCCCCCGCGTCCTCTTGCTTTCCCCGCTTCCTCTGCTTTCCCCCGCCCTCTGCTCCCCCCCGCTTTTCCCTCTTCTCTGCTTTCCCCGCCTCCTCTGCTTCCCTTTCTTCTGATTTCCCCGCTTCCCTGTACCTTCCAGACCCATAATAAACATGATCGGAATGCTGTATATTCGTTATTTTTTTTCATTTTATTTTTGTGTTCCTAATTCAGGCGAAAATCAAACAGAAATTGCGTGAAATAGAAGAAAACCAAAAGAGAATCGAAAAAATTTGGAGGGAATATATCGCCACCAGCAAGTATGTAGCATTCTGATTTCTGAACCAAACTCTTCCAAAACTAGTGAAACCGGTTCACACCCGGCCTATAGTAGTTCATTGGCTGGGCAGGACTTTCGCCGTTTCTGGGAGGACGTCATAAAGCCCCACCCACAACCCCCCCCTCGCCCTCCCTTCCCCGAAAGGAGACTCGCACGTGCGATCCCGTCACTGGCTGCGTCCGCTGGATGACTGACCCGGTTAATGGCCCACTGGCCTCTCGGTACCGTGTGAATGCTGTTTACAATTGTCACGATTGGTCAAACGATGAATGGATTCAGTTCGTGCAACTCATTGTTACAATCCGTGTTGTAGCTGTGATTGGTCACACAGTGATCACATGATATAGGCGGGGCCAGTTACAGCCCACCTGTACCATGTGATTCGCTGTGGCCAATCACGGCTAATCCCAATAAAACAAAATGAATACATCGATTTCCTTCAGTAAAATGCTTGCTTTATGGCAGTGAAATTTGTTGCTAGAAACAATCGTGTAAAAAAAAAAAAAAAAAAAAAAAAAAAAAAAATCACTTCCCCAGAGTAGTACACATGTTACTATGTAATAATGTGTAAAAAAAAAAAAACAAAACCTGATTACTTCCCCAGAGTAGTACAATGTTACTATGGTAATAATGTGTAAAAAAAAAAAAAAAAAAAAACCCTGATTACTTCCCCAGAGTAGTACAATGTTACTATGGTAAGCTATCATAATTTTGTAAAAAAAAAAAAACCCCCAAAAAAACAAAAATCTTGATCACTTCCCCAGAGTAGTACAATGTTGCTATAGTAAGCTTTTTCTTCTTTTTTTTTTTTTTTTTTTTTGCCCCGCTATCAATACATTTCAAATATATTTGTATGTTTTTAAAAATACAAATCTACAGTTTTTGGAATGCATTTATAAAATAATATGTAAAAATTACGTGTTTTTTGTTTGGTACTATGGTAAAGTAGTAATGTTACTTATGGTAAAAAAAAAAAAAATCAAAACCCTGATTACTTCCCCAGAGTAGTACTATGGCTACTATGGTAATAATGTGGGGAAGTGATCAGGAGATTTTTTTTTTTTTTTGATAACTTCAAAGTTACTATGTGTAAGCTATCATAATATTTGTTAAAAAAAAAAAAAAAACCCTGATCACTTCCCCAGAAATAGTACAATGTTACTATGGTAATGTATGTAAAAAAAAAAAAAATCAAAACCCTGATTATTTCCCCAGAGTAGTACTATGTTACTATGGTAATAATGTGTAAAAAAAAAAAACCCTGATCACTTCCCCAGAGTAGTACTATGTTTACTATGGTAATAATGTGTAAAAAAACAAAACCCTGATCACTTCCCCAGAGTAGTACAATGTTACTATGGTAAGCTTTTTTTTTTTTAACAATACATTTCAAATATATTGTATGTTTTTTTAAAATACAAATCTACATTTTTGGAATGCATTTAAAAAATATATATGTTAAAATTACGTTTTTTTGGGTTTTTTTTTTTTTTACTATGGTAATGTGTAAAAAAAAAAAAACAATCCTGATGACGTCCCCAGAGTAGTACAATGTTACTATGGTAATAATATGTAAAAAAAAATCAAAACCCTGATTACTTCCCCAGAGTAGTACTATGCTACTATGGTAATAATGTGGGGAAGTGATCAGGGTTTTGTTTTTTTTACAGAGTAGTACAATGTTACTATACTATCATGGTAAAAAAAAAAAGCCCTACTTTCCCCAGAGTAGTAATTGTTACTATGGTAAGCTTTAAAAAAAAAAAAAAAAAAGCCCTGATCACTTCCCCAGAGTAGTACAATGTTACTATGGTAATGTGTAGTAAAAAAAATCAAAACCCTGATTACTTCCCCAGAGTAGTACAATGTTACTATGGTAAGCTATCATAATTTTGTAAAAAAAAAAAACAAAAAAACTAAATCCTGCTCACTTCCCCAGAGTAGTACAATGTTACTATGGTAAGCTTTTTTTTTTTTTAACAATACATTTCAAATATATTGTATGTTTTTAAAAATACAAATCTAAATTTTTGGAATGCAATTAAAAATGTTAAAATTACTTTTTTTTTTTTTTTTTTTTTTTTACTATGGTAATGTGTAAAAAAAACAAAACAATCCTGATCACTTCCCCAGAGTAGTACAATGTTACTATGGTAATAATATGTAAAAAAAAATCAAAATCCTGATCACTTTCCCAGAGTAGTACTATGTTACTATGGCAATAATGGGTAAAAAAATTAAATCCTGATCACTTCCCCAGAGTAGTACGATGTTACTATGGGAACATTATGTTACTCTGTTTACAGTGTGTTTAAAAAAAAAAAAAAAAAAAAATATTTAAAACATTTTCTGTTGGTACTGTCCCCAGTCGCAATTGTCATTCAAAGTGCGACAGCGCTGAAAACTGAAAATTTTGTCCTGGACAGGACGGGGGTAGCAGTGCACGGTACTGAAGGGGTTAACCTGTCGGTGGTCATAAAGGTATGGCTTCTCTCTCTCTCCTTGCCAGGCAATCCTTGGAGGAGCAGAAGAACCTCGAGGAGACATTGACCGAGGAGGTGGAAATGGCGAAGAGGAGAATCGATGAAATCAACAAGGAGTTGAACCAAGTGATGGAACAGCTGGGGGACGCCAGGATCGATCGCCAAGAGAGCAGCCGACAGCAACGCAAAGCTGAAATCATGGAGAGCATCAAGAGGCTGTACCCGGGTTCTGTGGTATGGGAGTCTGTTGTGCCTCATACAATGTTTTTGTTTTTTTTTTTTTGTAACTGGTTTTTGTTCTTTTTTTTTTCTACCTGTTTTTGTTCTTTTTTTTCTACCTGTTTTTGTTCTTTTTTTTCTACCTGTTTTTGTTCTTTTTTTTTTTGCTACCTGTTTTTGTTCTTTTTTTTTCTACCTGTTTTTGTTCTTTTTTTTCTACCTGTTTTTGTTCTTTTTTTTCTACCTGTTTTTGTTCTTTTTTTTCTACCTGTTTTTGTTCTTTTTTTTTTCTACCTGTTTTTTGTTCTTTTTTTTCTACCTGTTGTTTTTTTGTTTTTTTTTCTACCTGTTGTTTTTGTTCTTTTTTTTTCTACCTGTTGTTTTTGTTCTTTTTTTTTCTACCTGTTGTTTTTGTTCTTTTTTTTCTACCTGTTGTTTTTGTTCTTTTTTTTTCTACCTGTTGTTTTTGTTCTTTTTTTTTTTTCTACCTGTTGTTTTTGTTTTTTTTTTTCTACCTGTTGTTTTTGTTCTTTTTTTTTTCTACCTGTTGTTTTTTTGTTCTTTTTTTTTCTACCTGTTTTTGTTCTTTTTTTTCTACCTGTTTTTGTTCTTTTTTTTCTACCTGTTTTTGTTCTTTTTTTTTTCTACCTGTTTTTGTTCTTTTTTTTTCTACCTGTTTTTGTTTTTTTTTTCTACCTGTTTTTGTTTTTTTTTTTCTACCTGTTTTTGTTTTTTTTTTTTTCTACCTGTTTTTGTTCTTTTTTTTTTCTACCTGTTTTTTTGTTTTTTTTTCTACCTGTTTTTTTGTTCTTTTTTTTTTCTACCTGTTGTTTTTGTTCTTTTTTTTCTACCTGTTGTTTTTTTCTTTTTTTTCTACCTGTTGTTTTTGTTCTTTTTTTCTACCTGTTGTTTTTGTTCTTTTTTTTTTCTACCTGTTGTTTTTGTTCTCTTTTTTTTCTACCTGTTGTTTTTGTTCTTTTTTTTTCTACCTGTTGTTTTTGTTCTTTTTTTTCTACCTGTTGTTTTTGTTCTTTTTTTTTTCTACCTGTTGTTTTTGTTCTTTTTTTCTACCTGTTGTTTTTTGTTTTTTTTCTACCTGTTGTTTTTGTTCGTTTTTTTCTACCTGTTGTTTTTGTTCTTTTTTTCTACCTGTTGTTTTTGTTCTTTTTTTCTACCTGTTGTTTTTGTTCTTTTTTTCTACCTGTTGTTTTTGTTCTTTTTTTCTACCTGGTTTTTTGTTCTTTTTTTTACCTGTTGTTTTTGTTCTTTTTTTTCTACCCTGTTGTTTTTGTTCTTTTTTCTACCTGTTGTTGTTTTTTTTTTTTTTTTTTTTTTTTTTTTTTTTTTTGTTATAACTGGTTTCGGTTCTTTTTTTCTACCTGTGTTTTGTCTTTTGTTTTTCTTTTTTCTACCGATTTTTTTTTTTTTTTTTTTTTTTTTTTTTTACTTTTTAAAGGAATATTTTATTTTTAGTAACTTTATCGTGGCAACCATATACCAAAAGACTTCCCTCCGGCTGAGTCTTTTACTGCTTGAGTCTGCCAGATATCTCATGGTCTTCGCAGCAAAGTCCCAGTCTCACGAGGAGCGCGGACCAGCCATTGGAATGAATGGGCCAGGCGGTGCTCTTACGTCGGCAGTCTTTTACCGCTCGAGTTTTCCAGATATCGCATAGTCTTTGCAGAAACCCACATGGAAGAAAAATATGTTTGAAATCTATTTGTAAAATATTTTTCCCAAATATATTGAAATGCTACAATTTTGGCCGTATTCAATATATTTAAAAAAAAAAAAAAAAAAAAAAAAAATATATATATATATATATATATGTGTATGTATATATGTGTGTGTGTATATTATATAATATATGTATGTGTGTATATGTGTGTGTGTATGTATGTATGTGTGTATATATATATGTGTGTATGTGTGTATGTGTGTGTGTGTATGTGTGTGTGTGTGTATATATATATATATGTATATTTTTGTGTGTGTGTATGTGTGTGTGTGTATGTGTGTGGTGTATATATATGTTGTGTATGTATGTGTGTGTATATATATATGTGTGTGTGTATGTATGTGTGTATGTATATATTTATATATGTTGTATGTATGTGTGTGTATATTATATGTTGTGTGTTGTATGTGTGTGTGTATATATTTTTTTGTGTATGTATGTGTGTATATATATATATGTTGTATGTGTGTGTGTATATATATAATATATTATTGTGTATGTATGTGTGTGTATATATATTTGTGTATTTATTTTATATATATATGTTTGTGTGTATTTTGCATGTTGAAATGCGTTTTTATTACAAAATATATGAAAAATATTTTTATAAATACATTTCAAATATACTGTATGTCTTTTAAAAATACAAATCTACATTTTTTTAATGCATTTACGAACATATGAAAAAATATGTTAAAATTACTTTTTTATATGTTAAAAAAAAAAAAAAATCCGAAGAATATATTAAAAAAAAAAAAAAACAATTTTTTTGAAAATATTTGAAAATGCAATGTGTGTGTGTGTGTGTCATAAACTTGTCATCAATTTAGATCAAAATGTATTCCGCTGCATGTCTTTGCTTAAAAAAAAATAAGTGAATAAAAAAAAATAAATAAATAAAAAAAAAAAAAAATATATATATAAATATATATATAAAATCTGTTTATTGCTGGGTACTTAAAACCCTCTCGTTACTCGAGCTGATTTGTGTCAGAGAGGCTGCTCATATATATCATAAGAGAGAGGGGGGGGGTCTTGAGGAAAGTCCAACAACGCATGAAATGGCGCGCGCGCGCTAATGGTCCAAATTGCCATTTTCTTACAGCGGAATGAAGTCACTATACTTTGATTTGTATCAACCTGACATCTGATCCCTTTTTTTTTTTTTTTTTTTTTTTTTTTAGTTTTTTTTTTTTTTTACGGGCGACTGATTGACCTTTGCCAGCCCACCCAGAAGAAGTACCAGATCGCCGTCACCAAGGTGCTCGGTAAAAACATGGACGCCATCATTGTGGATTCGGAGAAGACCGGCAGAGAGACTGCATCCAGTATATCAAAGAGAGCAGCGAGGGGAGCCTGAGACGTTCCTTCCTCTGGATTACTTGGAGGTATTTTCTCTCATTCCTCCAGCGCTTTGTAAAGGAAATGTCACGTGCTCGGCATCAATGGATCTGTTCTTTCAGTTGCCTATTCCAGTGTTTCTCCGTACTTTTTTTTTTTTTTTTTTTCAAATTATTATTGTTATTTTTTATTGTTATTTTTTATTTTATTTTTATTAGTTTTTTTTTTTTTTTTTTTATTATTTTATTTTTTTTTTTTGTTTTTATTTTGTTTCTAATTATTATTATTTATTTTATTTTTTATTAGTTTTTTTTTTTTTTTATAATAATTATTCATTTATTTTTTATTTTTGTTTATTTTGGTTTCTAATTATTATTATTTATTTTTATTTTTTATTAGTTTTTTTTTATTTTTTTAATTATTCATTTATTTTTATTTTTGTTTATTTTGTTTATAATTCTAATTTACTTATTTTTTTATTTTTTATTAGTTTTTAAATTTTTTTATATTTTATTTTTTTATTTTTTGTTTATTTTTCTAATTTTTATTATTTATTTATTGTTATTTTTTTAATTTATTTTTATTAGTTTTTTTATTTTTTTAATTATTATTTATTTATTTTTTTTTTTTGATTTATTTAGTCAAGGCACCCTTATCTGTTTTATTGAGTTTTCAAAGAAGTAGCAAACTAAACAACAAATGTACGGTGTGAGGAAGAGAGAATGCACAATGTGTCACCAGTACAATTAGGGGGGGGGGGTACATATAAAAAAAGGCTGGTTCAGCTAGTAATATATAGGGCAAAAAAAACCCAAACTAATACAGAGAGGGTCCCCTGCCATGTCATTGTAATCGCCGTTAAAGGATAAGTTCACCTTTTTTGGCAAAAATAATAAATGCACTTTTTTTGCAGGTAAAAAAAATGTGCATTTATTATTTTTTGTCTGCTGGAGCCTGGAAAGCGTTCCACAATGATCAGAATCGCTGACGCCATGGAGGTCACAATATCCGCTTCCCATATGGTGGTGTATGGGGTGTACGGGATGTATGGGGGTGTACGGGGGTATACGGGGGTGTATGGGGGTGTACGGGATGTATGGGGGTGGGGGGTGTACGGGATGTATGGGGGTGTACGGGATGTGTATGGGGGTGTAACGGGATGTAGGGGGGTGGTACGGGATGTATGGGGGTGTATGGGGGTGTACGGGATGGTACGGGGTGTACGGGATGTATGGGGGTATACGGGATGTATGGGGGTGGTACGGATGTAGGGGGTGTACGGGATGGTTGAGGGGGGTGTACGGGATGTATGGGGGTGTACGGGATGTAATGGGGTGTGTACGGGATGTAGGGGGGTGTACGGGATGTAGGGGGTGTACGGGATGTAGGGGGTGTACGGGATGTATGGGGGTGTACGGGATGTATGGGGGTGTACGGGATGTATGGGGGTGTACGGGATGTATGGGGGTGTACGGGATGTATGGGGGTTAGTACGGATGTATGGGGGTGTACGGGATGTATGGGGGGTGTACGGGATGTATGGGGGGATGTACGTGATATATGGGGGTGTGTACGGGATGTATGGGGGTGTACGGGGGTGTATGGGGGATGTATGGGGATGTACGGGATGTATGGGGGGTGTACGGGATGTATGGGGGTGTACGGGATGTATGGGGATGTACGGGATGTATGGGGGGTGGGGAGTACGGGATGTATGGGGGTGTACGGGGGTGTATGGGGGTGTACGGGGATGTATGGGGGTGTACGGATATATGGGGGTGTACGGGATGTACGGGATGTATGGGGGTGTACGGGGGTGTACGGGGGTGTATGGGGATGTATGGGGATGTACGGGATTTATGGGGATGTACGGGATGTATGGGGGTGTACGGGGGTGTATGGGGGATGTATGGGGTGT